TTTTCTCCTTTTGGTTTGCCTTGCCCCAGTTTTTAGGCATTTTTCGATCCCATCCAAAAAGGCAGGACTGCGGCTCGTACCACTTTCCTTCGACCCCTGCATTGACCCTCACTCTAGACGGGGCGGTTAGCTTGCCAATCTTTGGTGTTCCATCAACAAGGCACCCCTTAACTTGCTAATTCTCAGCAGGGAATGAGAACTGGAACGACCCCTATAAATTCCATCCCTGGTGGTTTCCTTTGTTCGGGAACCCCCAAAACCGGTTCATTCCCAGCAGGACTCGTCGTCATTCCCTGCCTACGCCACCAGCAAGTTGAACAAACAAACCGGGAGGTGGAGAAAGCGCCGCTTTGCGAGGACACGGACCGCTGCCAGGGGTGGCAGCGAAGCTACCCGGACAAGGGCGGCAAGCGGATCTTCTTCAACTCAGGCGACAGGGCGAGGGCTTGCAGACGTGTCGAGGGCGCATTTTTTAGTGATACCTGAATTCAGGCTTTCAAGTTGTAGTGACATTTGCAGATGTGCGTCTTTCTCATATTTTCAGACCCCGTTATTTGAAGCCCCACTTTGTTTTTCTCAATTCCACATGGGTTTTCCCGGTATATTCTCCCTTCGCATCCTTTTAGTAGTACCCTTCATGTTTCCCTGTACCTTTTTGGTACAGAGTTCCGAGGTGAAGCCTCAAAATTGCGGTTTGGCCCTTGGACCTTGAAACCCTGGCATGGCTGCCAAAACCCCTTGACTTGGCCAGCCCGGCTTCCTATGTTCCCCACTTGGGTGGTGACAGACAGGGGGGCTGATCAACAGATTTGGGGGCCACACTACTTTTCGGTTTTGTTCACCAAAGGACTTCCCTGCTTTCAGTTTCGAATGACTTTGTTGAAACTTTGCATGAGGGCCATGTTCGACTATCACCAGGAAACCAACCTGTGGAAAGGGTTAGGATAGCGTGATTCCTTTTGGGGTACCCGCCAACCAACAAAAACAGGCTCCGTTTAGAAGGCTCTCTGTTCTTCTTGCAACGGGGGGCTGTGCACTTCTATGTTTGGTGGGAGGGTGCGCTCTCATGCGACGCTGGCAGCTATCTCCAGCCACATTTTAAGGCCTCACGGTGGGTTTTGAAGGTCACGTGCAGCTTTCTTAGAGAAAGAACTGGGATCCCTAAAGCAGGCTGCAAGAGCAGTCGACAGTCGATTGGGTAGCTGGCAAGACCGACCCCTTGTGGTATCACAGTCAGACTTCAACACATAGATTGTATATAGACTCCGAAGCTTGTAAACGTTTCTGAAGTCTCAGCAGCCAATTCAAGTTGGTTGCGAGGTTGCTTCTCTAAGTCAAACACGAGACGAGTTTGTGTTTGTAGGTACCCTTTGCTGGGATTAGTTTTAAGGACACCCAAAGGGAATCACCACCCATTTCAGGTGCTCTTGTCTTCGAACCCTGTCAATGTGTTGTTGGTGGTTTCTGCCGATATTCTGAGTAAGATTCGGCCAAGCATCAACCGCCGGGCCAGGCATCAACCGCCGGAGCAACTTCACCCTTGAGGAGGGGCAAAGACGAACTCCGAGGAACACTGAACCGCAAATTTGGGCCCAGTGGGTTTGTGGGTTATAAAAGGCAAACTAGGGTCAGTTCCCTTAACCCTGCCACCTGGGTGTTTTGTGGATGCTAAAGAAATGGGATCTGCACAATCAAGCCAACCTCACAAAGGCGTGCTGATGATTGCTTTCTCAGGCTCTGAGTAGTTCAGGCTGGTGACTTATTGATTGTCATTTACCAATTTTTGTTGTGTTTTGCAGTTGTGGCACGGCATCAACCACATACCCACACAAGTGTCAGACACTCGTTTTGAACCAAGTGCCCAAAGTATGGGCTCGAACCTCAAAGAGCGAAAATTGAAACCTCCCAACCAAGCGTCTCCGTGCAGCAAGCCGGCCCTCGCACTTGCATGTGCATCCAAGAGCACCAGCAAGCATGAACCGTTTTGACTTTGTCATGTCAGGCAGACTCTGCGTGCGCAAAAAAAGTTGTTTGCTCCCCAGTGCGTCGTCGCATCAGAGCGCCCATGCTTGCTCATCAATAGCTCGCACTGCAAGCCTGCAGACGAGATCTCCGACTCCGAAGTTCCGCAAAGGTCGCATCACCTCGGTACTATCGAAATCTCTCGAACATTGGCTGCGACCTTATCAAGCAAGTACGCATAGGGAAACTGATGAAAATCGTTACACTATGGCCCCCAGGCTCCCCAATATGCAAAGGTTGCTTTCAATTCATCACACTTGAAGATCTCTGGGGTTGAGCGGCTGAGGCTTGGGAAACCCCAAAGCAAACCCCGCCTTTTCTTGGGGGTCCCCCCCCAAAAAGAAAAACGGCTGAAGGGTCTGGCGTGAGTTGATCTCGGCTAGGACACGGTGGCGCACCACATCAACGTCTGGCTGGAGGAGAACTCGACTCAGCAGCACAAAGACGTGGCCGTGCGGGCGCGCAACCGAGTCAGCAAGCCCTCATGAAATCGGAGATCGGAGAGGGGACAGTTGCCCCGAAAAAGGTGTCCATGGCAGAAGTTCTATGAGCCCACATCCATGAGCAAAACCAAATTTGTTGCGGGGGCTGAGAAGCATCGGCTCTTGGCCCAATGGTTCAGAAAGTGGGGGCAGCTCTCTTCATGAGGTTTTCAGACTCAGCAGATTCATGGTTGTGGGAAATCGGGTTTATGTTGCCACTTTCTGTGATGCCAAGGGTATCCCCTACTGAGTGACAAATGAGTGGTGGGAATGGGCGCTGTGGGAGTTGGGTTGGGACGGAGAGGGGCTCTGGGGCAACGGACATGTATATTTATATGCATGCATTTGCCCAGACGTATGGGTAGCACGCTGTACATGTTTGGACATATAGACATGGATTTGCGCGTGTATCTGAATGCTAAACACGTATGTGATATGTGATATCGATGGTTTACGGCTGGACAAACACAACATTTGTGGAGATAGAGCTACAGCTGTAGTGTGAATATGATGTATCAGTGTTTCATGGTTGGAACCATGTAGACAGAGAGAGGTGTGTGCATGTATGCAGTAGGATAACGATACATGTAGAGGCATTTGTTTGTCTCTTCCCTCACATGCATTTGTTTGCTCCTGCAAAATTGTTTGAACCCTTGCGTGGGTTCATTTGTTTGTCGAAGGCGATCTTTGAAGAAACTTAGTGTCTAGGTGTCAAAATGGGATTCTGCGGAAAGAATGGTTCAGGGAAGCTCGCGGAAGCCTTTGCGGATTGCAGATAGCTAGCTGGGCTGTACTTGAAGGCAATGAAACCCCAGAAAGCCGCAACAATAATCTGCTAGATGTTTGGCCCATGCGAATTGGCAAATGAGCTGCTTGGGACCGTTGCCCATCAAAACGCAAACACAGAATTATGCTTTCGCGGAAGCAGCTCACTGCCGCGGACTTGCGAAAGGTCGTGTTGCTTCACTGGTGATGTGTATCTTCCCCAAAAATGGGACTTCGTTGCACTGCTCTTGTTTAAGAGGGGTGTTTTTTGGGTGAGAACTCAGTCCTTGTCTCAAGAACGCCTTTTTCCGTACTCTTTTTCATTGCCGCCCGCATTCCCAAGTTTCGGTTGTATGAAAATTGATCCTGGAAGGGGGGCAGCTAGGTTTGCTTTTTGTCTCCAAGTACCTTTGCAAGTTAGGATCTGGTTGCACGCTGCTTTGGCCGAAACAAGCCTGCGCCATAGGGCCCCATTGAGGTTTCTCAAAAGGAGTTTGCATGGTTCCTTTGGTTTCGCCAAAACAAATAAGGCGAGGTTTCTTACGTGGGGTGATGGGGAATGGGGAAATATACAGAAGTAGCTTATTTGAGTTGTTGGGATAGTTACGGACCAGAGCATCTGTACATTTTTCATCACTGCCGTGCTCCACCACACTGGCAGGGTTGCTTGGTTCAACCTCCGAGCCCACGCTGAGACATTCTTTTGAGGCCCCTCTTCCAATCCGGCCGCCGCCCAGAGGGGTCCGTTTTCCATTTGAAGACATGCCCCCTTTCCGCTTTTGGCTCGCGGCTTTGGGCGTTTGCGCTGTTTGAGCCACCGCTGCGATGTAGGCAGCACAGATCTACAGCAACGTGTTCCAGGCTCGCGAAGTCGCGCGCGCGCGTCGTTTGACAGGTATCGGTTGAGACAACCGCCTCCTGATCCCCTTTAAAGGGAAACCAACAAGTGGTTCTTGAAAGTTGCTTGAACATGGTGTTGCTCGGGCGAACTGAAAGAGGTTTCATGATTCCTGCCTTTGCGAGGGCGGTTCTTGGTGCTCTCGGAGTGTAGATTTAGAGTCGAGTCTTTTAGAGCGACTGATGTTTCATCTGATTTCCAGTAAAAGAAGCCGCTGGCCATGCGGGGTCTAATTTTCTGGCATGTTTGATGATTCCAAGTTATGTGCAGTGTTGGGCTTCGGGTAGTGGAGAGCTTAGATTAAGTATGGAGCTGACGCGCCGCTTGTCGCAAGTTACGCTCGATTGCTGAGCATTTGCGATTTTCACAAAAGCCATGGTACAAGGAGATCCAAGGATCGGCGGAGAGACACACTCACGACATGTTGCGCTTACTCAGCTGCAACCGACCTTCAGTCAGATCGATCCCTTGGCTCAAGGAGTTGACGCCCCCCGTCTTTGTTCCCAAGAGAAGCATGAGGGCCCCGGAAGGGGTTTCAACACCCTTCTTCATTCAGATATTTGTCGTGATACGCTTTTGGGGTCTATTCATTTTTGTTGGGGGATGCAATGAACCAGGTCGATCCCCCATTCTTTTGACCCGTGTTTTTGGGTAGCCGCACCATTCCTTGCAAACGACTCTGAAAAGAAGGACGGAAGTCTGAATGGGGGAAGTACATCCATTTGCTGGTTTTATTGTTCCTGCTTTCAAGGAAAACGGTCACTAGACAGACAAGTCTCCACCTTGTGCATTTGCACTGAGGCAAAACGAAGATTATACTTTTTGGGCGTCTGAATGGGTGGATCTTGTGATTTTGCTTGCTTTGGGGTAGCGATGGCGGTCGTTTTGAGAGCGATGGAGTGCTGAACCCGGGTTCCTCGCCAACTTTGCGCGGCAGATGGCTGCAAGGCGCATCATTTCCTGCCAAATGAGCCTTCAGCAGGACTGTGGATGAAACTGGAGGACCAAGTGGTCTACGGGGAAGACAACGTCAGCCAAGAGGAGTGTCGCTCGCTGAACGACTTCAACTTTGGCTTCATACTAGGTGGCTGCGACCTTTTGCTGGACGTCCCCATGAGCACTTCCTGGACTTCTATGCCGCCAGAGCTGGCTCCGAGCCACCTAGCGACATGGACGTCGTCTTCGACCCCTTTGCTTCCAGAGGATCATGTGCCCGATCCGGTGTGTGAGAAGGAATTGAAACCCTGGGCGCGCTACGGCAGTGGCAGATGCTGGACCGTTGCTGGCAGCTGATCGAGCAGAATGAGCACTGACAGGCCAACGTGCTGCGCATTTTTGATGACGCAGCTGTGCTTGCACCCTACACCCCGTGGCCCGCTTCACACGATGGGGGTGTGCCTCAACGCGAAGTTCGACTTCGCCGTGGGACAACATGCGCAAGTACCTCACTGCTTGAAGAGCAAGGGCAGCATGTCATGCTTCTGTTGCTCTTCAGCCGGTCGGTAGCGGACCTGATCGCTGCGCAGCGGAACTGCACCAATGTTATCATGTCTTCGGGAGTCCTTGCTGTTCAACTCTATGAGCCTGGCCAACATGTCGTTACACAAAGCGAGCCACACTGGCGCTTCATTCTCTCTGCCAAGCTCACAACTCACAACGGTTGGTGCCAGCACGACCTACTGTGGATGGACAAAATCCTGCACCACTTTGAAAACATGGTATTCATTGTTTCTTGGTATTTACAGGGGAATAATCATTCCGGGGTTTCTTAGGTGGTGCAGGAAGTTGTCCATCCACAGTACTGAACTATTGCCCTGAAAAACAAACAGGTGTCCTCTATGCCAGCTTGCTCAAGCGGCAGAACATGCTTGGCTTGGGCGGTGTCAGGTTTTGTGAAAAGCGCATTGCTAGGGGTGTTTTAGTGTGGGTTGCTCTTTTTCTCAACAGCTGGAAGCTTTGGGGTCTCAGCCCAGATAGGCTTCGGGGAGGTCCGGGGCGGCCCTGAGGTGAGGTTTAACCAGGGTTCCACCAGGCTTCCACCAACACTCCACGAGGAGCTCCACGAGTTTATGAGAGGGCTGCGGGATGGGCTGCGGGGTGGTGCGAGCACTAAAAAGAGCTCCGCATGCTGTTGGGGATACCACATGAGCTTATTTGGGTTTGTTTTATGGGAACGAACAGAGGAAACAGTCAGGGCTTCTCCGTGTAGAAGAATCCAAGTCAGGATTTCCTAGCTCGGGAAGGCCTCAGCATCCGAGCGTGACTCCTGGTAGCCAGAAGCCAACAGCCACTAGCAACACAAGTCTAGCTAGTCTGAAATCGGGGTTCAATGTCAACGCCAGAATCCTCGATTTTATGATCCAATGTCAAGACCATAGTCCCCAAATCAAAAAAGCGATACACGCTCCTGGTGGTTGCCTAATCATGAATACGTACCCCATGTGCGTCAATTCACGTTCCTGCGTATTGCGTGCTAGTTTTTGTCATTGAATAGCTATGAATAAAAAACAGAGACTGCCTCAGAACCAAATCCAATTCAACAACAGTTTACACCCGCGCTTTCCTATGTAAAGGGCCCACTGATCAACAAGCCTTTAGGAAGTATCCTCAGCCCAACCCTTGAGGGACGTTCGGGGGTGACCCTTTGACCTGGGTCAAAATGAAACCATCAGAGGACCGCTGGTTGTAGTCACTGTAGTCTTTGTTTCCATTTGCCAGGGTAAGCCATTTTGGGGTTAATTAGCCTATTTTTGGCCCACATCCTAATCGGACCTTCGGGTGGCTTCGGAAGCAAAAATCGCAGTGCCAGGTGCCGGAGTTGATGCCCGAGGGTAGCAAGAGCTGGATGGAGCAGGAGTGCAAGGCGGCAAGTCAACTTCCACAGCTCCAGTTTTTTGGGCTAGGTCCCCCAGTAGTGCCCTTTTACCCTTTTTTGGGGGAGGGGTCCCCTACTAAAACAGACTACGGAAAAAAGGGTACCCTTATTCTAACCACTCAACTGGAGGTCCTAGTGGGGGTGGATCAATATTCCGTTCGGCCCCAAAATCACCATGGGTAACTTGTTTCCCATGTGGGAATGATCATCATTTCTGCCAAATGATCATCCCATGTAAAGGACCTTTTGATCAACTTCCATATACCCGCATACGGGAAATTGTTTTATGTAAAAGCTAGAGAAACAGAAATATTGTTCCCTGCCATGCTGGGAACTGGTACGGTTTCTTCCCATGTCCAAACTCCCCTTGGTCCTGTCCAACAAGTGGCTGGGACCCGGGTGCTGCTACGGATCCCAAGCAAAAGCTGCTTTCTGGGCGAATTATTACACGACCTCACACGGCCGAATTCACCCCAAATGGTGGTTTATGTGGGGAATAGCCCCCGGACCACAGACATTTCAGGCTGGTGAAATATTATTTGGGCCTTTTTGGACTAATCGTGATCTTTGGTGCAAATTCAAATCTTGCATTAGTCAGCCGCATGTGCAAATTGCTGTCTGCAAAACAAAGGCGCATGGTGATTGGAAGAATCTCCCTGAGCCAATGCGTGAACGTGGATGGTTCAATGACCTTGCGGATTGCGCAGCAAAAAAGGCAGTTGAGAACGCATGTGCCCCTCTTCGAGCTGCATATGTGAGGGCGCGCGATGCCCAGACTTTTGTGCGATCACAGGTGTGCTCTTATCAGAAGTTTCTTGCTGCGGTTGCTGAACGAAAGTTTGAGCTTGCCAAAAAGAAAGAACCCAGGGATGGGCCTAATTACGACCTGAAAGTGCTACATGTTGCAGGTGAAGGACGGCCACTGCCAGTCAACTGGCCAGCGCTTCACAGGGCTTGCCTGAATACACATTGGCCAAAGGATTTTCTTGACATGATTGCCAGTTACTTTGCACAATTGCGTTGGTTTCCCACACAGCCGGCGTCCATTCATCAAGTGAGCTGGGTTGAACTCTACCTTGACTGGCTCATGTGGACGGGATGCGTTGCCCCTGCTCGCATGCCTTGGTCTCGGTCCTCCAAGCCAGACTACAGATGGCGTCATAGTGACGGTATTGCGCAAGTTCAGCAGTCACAGCTTGGCGTTGATGTGTATGCGTGGAAAGTTGCTTTCAAGTTTCTTGTGAGGAAAGGGGCTCTCCCTTTGCCTTTCAACATGGTGACACGTGCATGGAGTGTTCGCAGAATTGGCTTACTTATGAAGCATGGAGGCCTTGATCATCGGCCCTTTTTGCTTTGTGGTAATGCTGCTGCCGAATGGTTGCAACGACGTCTTAAGGGTGACAGATTTACTCAGAAGACGCTTAAATTCAGTTTGCTTACTCCGCCGAATTGGTGAAGTTTTTCTCTACTTGTGCTGGAAGCACCGCTATGCGTGGCTGCCAGTCACCAAGCTTGATGCAAGGAGAAAACAAAAGGCTGGTGAAATATTATTGTGATAATTCACCCAGATGGCTTTGCCCCTGACGCCTACGTGCAACGAGTCACCAGCGCAGGTCATGGGCCAGATGCCCTTCATGTACTCCTGCGCCTCGCTTGCAAGTGGGTTTTGCAGCTGGCTGTGGTGGTCAAAACCGTTTCGGGATCCCATTTTGGTTGGAAAATGAAAGCGAGAGTTGGCTTGGGCCAGTCGAATCTCCTAAATGGTGGGTAGATGTGTGACCAGTTTGTTGCTCTCAGGAGACCAGTGTGACGGGTTCTAAGCAGGTTGGGGCTTGCATCACATGAGAAACACCAGTGTGGCATCCTAGAGCCAGTTTGTTGCAAACCATTTCTTGGAACCCATTTAGCGTCAAGCCTAAACACACGTGCTTTAGTCCTTGGGTTTTCGCGCGAAGGAAGGTGTACAGGAACCTGGAAGAGGGACAACATGACCCTTGTGGCTTTGCTTCATGATGGTTCCCTGCCGTTTCTTTTTGTTCTTGAACGAAGCCAAGAACAACTACGTTGGCACCCAGGAGTGATTCCTGAAGCTAAGAACAACTACGTTGGCACCCAGGAGTGATTCTTGATTCAACTAACCTTCAGTGTCCTCAGAACGCACCAAACTGATCCCACGCAAATCCAAACAACACATGTCACGCGGGTGGGTAGTGACTAGTGACTTCTAGTTGCCTCTGTGTTTGGTGGTGTGTGAGGACCGTGGCATTTGCCAGGGAGGGAGCTCCAATGTCTTTGTTCATTTCTGCGTTTCCTTGACCCAGGATCAAAGTTCCTGAGCTGGTCAAAAAGTTTTTCCCCAGATAGCTGAAATCTATAGGTTCTAACTTCAAATAAAGAGGGGGAAGTGATTTGCGAAATTGATGGGCTGGTGCTAAGGGGCGTGCATTTTTGCGGATTGGGGTGCTGTTTGAGGTGCTGATGGCAGTGCGGGCGCATCTTTTCAAGATTGACGGCAGGGTGCTAGGGGGCGTGCAATTTGGGGTGCTGGTTTTTGCGGATTGGGGTGCTGATTTTTGCGGATTGGGGTGCTGTTTGAGGTGCTGATGGCAGTGCGGGCGCATCTTTTCAAGATTGATGGTAGGGTGCTAGGGGGCATGCAGTTTGGGGGTGCTGGTGCAGGTGCTGTTTTGGGGGTGACGGTGCAGGCGCATTTTTGCGAGATTGACGGCAGGGTGCACGGGGGCATGCAGTTTGGGGTGCTGCTGCAGGTGCTGTTTTGGGATGCTGTTTGGGGTGCTGTTGGAGGTGCTAGTGATGGCGCGGGTGCTCGATCGACGGCCGGGTGCAGTTTGGGACGCTTTTCGGGGGGTGCTGTTGGAGGTGCTGGCGTGCAATCATTGCTATCTGGGGTCTATGTTTTTTTTTTTGTTTTTTTTGTTTTTTGTTTTTTTTAAATCATCTGGGGTTGGTATTCATATAAAAGGATAACCAAGGATACTTTCTTCTTCTTCTTCTTTTTTTTTTGGGGGGGGGGATTGGTATTAATATGAAAGAAGAACAAGAAGAACAACACCTTTTTTTCAAGGAGAGCTCCCTATTTGGAGAACTGCTGGTCTTCTGCATCCGAGGCTCGAACCGCATCAACGTGCTGGTGATGCCCGAGCCTTCAATGGGGGTCGCCCTTTTGGTCCTGCAAAGCATCCAGCCAGAAAGTTGTTTTTTTCTCGAAGAAAGACACACCAATTTCTTGGTGAATCCAATTTTAAGTGAGTGTGAACTTGGCGGGGTGCTTGCTTGTTGGGTACTGGGGGCGGGGAATGTGGGAAACGTGGACGAATGCCTGGTACTCGTTGATGTTCTCAGCTCTCTGCATCACAGCAAGAATGATGGTGTGTGTGTGTGTGTGTGTGTGGGTGTCGACCTGTTTTGGGTCACCCAGTAGTTACTAGTTCGTCCCCCTTTGTCCTTCCCGGCACCATGCGGCTCTCCAGCCTGTTTGACCGGGGCACCTGTGGGAAGAGCCAACTCGGGGTCTGAAAGTCACACAATCCAGGCGCGACTCTGAGATTGGGATGAGAGTCCAACTGAGTGATTCTGGAGGGATAGCCTGTCTTGCAAGCAGGCAGGCAGACAAGCATTTTTCCAGCAAATAAAAGGAGCGCAGCACAAACAAGCTTCAGAACACTGTTGCAGACACAAACAAACTTCCACAGTCTCGGGTCAGCACTCGACGACTCGACAGCTCAACTCTTAAAGGCTTGGATTACAGCATAATTTCTAGGATCGAAATTTGTTTTGTCCTGGCAAATCCTATTCTAGAAACAGCGCAC